ATCCCAAATCATTAAGACATCAAATCACTTTGTATGATGCATATAATGTTCAGGTATTTTCTAATGTCATAGGTGTTTATTCAATTCTACCTTTTAGTATTTAAGTGAAAGTTAGTGAGTCCCCTCGTGTCCCCTCGTGTGTTGAGCAACAGAATAGAAACTCCTTTTCTAGATATTGTTAAACACAGCACTCTGCGTAGCTGAGCAGCACTCTGAGTAGCTGAGCAGCACTCTGCGCAGCTGAGCAGCACTCTGCGCAGCTGAGCAGCACTCTGCGTAGCTGAGCAGCACTCTGAGTAGCTGAGCAGCACTCTGCGCAGCTGAGCAGCACTCTGCGCAGCTGAGCAGCACTCTGAGTAGCTGAGCAGCACTCTGCGCAGCTGAGCAGCACTCTGCGCAGCTGAGCAGCACTCTGCGCAGCTGAGCAGCACTCTGAGTAGCTGAGCAGCACTCTGCGCAGCTGAGCAGCACTCTGCGCAGCTGAGCAGCACTCTGAGTAGCTGCGCAGCACTCTGCGCAGCTGAGCAGCACTCTGCGTAGCTGAGCAGCACTCTGAGTAGCTGAGCAGCACTCTGCGCAGCTGAGCAGCATCAAGAAACATGTTGAGTTCAAGCATTTGTAAAACTTGTGTTGAGAAGCGAGCCCCACCTCCTCCTGCTCCTCCTCCTGTCAGAGCCCCACCTCCTCCTGTCAGAGCCCCACCTCCTCCTGTCAGAGCCCCACCTCCTCCTGTCAGAGCCCCACCTCCTCCTGTCAGAGCCCCACCTCCTCCTGCCAGAGCCCCACCTCCTCCTGTCAGAGCCCCACCTCCTCCTGTCAGAGCCCCACCTCCTCCTGCCAGAGCCCCACCTCCTCCTGTCAGAGCCCCACCTCCTCCTGTCAGAGCCTCACCTCCTCCTGTCAGAGCCCCCACCTCCTCCTGCTCCTGCTCCTGTCAGAGCCCCCACCTCCTCCTGCTCCTGCTCCTCCTCCTGCCAGAGCCCCCACCTCCTCCTGCTCCTCCTCCTGTCAGAGCCCCCACCTCCTCCTGCTCCTGCTCCTCCTCCTGCCAGAGCCCCCACCTCCTCCTGTCAGAGCCTCCACCTCCTCCTGCTCCTGCTCCTGTCAGAGCCCCCACCTCCTCCTGCTCCTCCTCCTGTCAGAGCCCCCACCTCCTCCCCCACCTCCTCCTGCTCCTCCTCCTGTCAGAGCCCCCACCTCCTCCCCCACCTCCTCCTCCACCTCCTCCTGCTCCTCCTCCTGTCAGAGCCCCCACCTCCTCCTCCACCTCCTCCTCCACCTGCTCCTGCTCCTCCACCTCCTCCTCCTCCACCTGCTCCTCCACCTCCTCCTCCTGCTCCTCCTCCTGTCAGAGCCCCCACCTCCTCCTCCACCTCCTCCTCCACCTGCTCCTGCTCCTCCACCTCCTCCTCCTCCACCTGCTCCTCCACCTCCTCCCCCACCTGCTCCTCCACCTCCTCCTGTCAGAGCCCCCACCTCCTCCTGCTCCTCCTCCTGTCAGATCCCCCACCTCCTCCTGTCAGAGCCCCCACCTCCTCCTGCTCCTGCTCCTGCTCCTGTCCCCCCTCTCCACAGACCACTGAAACAAACTACACCTCGCTGACACGCCACATTCAGAGAGGACACTGAGCTGATCACTGAGCCTATCACTGAGCCTATCACTGAGCCTATCACTGAGCCAATCACTGAGCTGCTCCTCTAACAGCTGACAGGAAGCCACGCTGCTCAACCCAAAGCCAAACACTGCATCACAAACAGGTAAACAGGTGGAGGAGCCCCCGCCCGACCCGCCTGATAAGGATGTGTCCACCTTACAACGCTGGCCATTGCCCCTGTAGCAATGGGCTTTGACCACCCTGTGGCCCCCTCCAATAGAAGAAGTTATGATAAGACAATTGTAGGTAGCATTGTGCTGTAACTAGCCAAAGATAACAAAGCATTTTGTTTTTCATACTGTAATGTAGTACTTACTGAAACATCATGGTCATTTACATTTCACTTTTGTGCGCAATGACCAAAATACAAGTTTTAAAATGTTGAACACTGTCTTTGTCTCTTTTGCCCCTCTGAAAAAATAACTGGCCCTAGCATGGCCCCCCAAGTCAAATTGGTCTAGAACCGCCACTGCTACAGACGGAACTTTCCTCCCAGAAAAGAGTGCTTTCCACCAGGGCCAGGCTGCATGAATATTTCAGATGGGTAAATAATTCATAATGAACGGCAAACAGGCCAGTGATCAAATGGAGCAGCATGGCAACAGACATGAAAAATCTGACTCTTGTAAACAAAGACAAGAGGACCCAGATTTCCTCCCCTCTTGCCACTGTCTCCTCTCGCCTTTTAAATATGCGCATGTTCAATCGCCCCCCGCATCGTCCTCAAACCACACACACACACACACACACACACACACACACACACACACACACACACACACACACACACACACACACACACACACACACACACACACACACACACACACACACACACACACACGAGGCCCATGTTTGAACACAGAGACTCCGTATCAGCGACTCTGTCGAACACACAAAGTGTCGCCGTAACCTCCTCGTCACTCACTCACATTCATACCCACACGTATTTCCCTTCAGAAGAATGACATTTTCACGTATTCCTGGGCGACCCGGGGAATGTGACTGAGCGAGAACACTTGATCTGGCCACCCGCTGTTTTCTGATGGAAAGATTTGCTTTTTAATACAATCGTCACTACCCCCACCTGGATATGCCACGCCAAGACAAATCCCAGCTGTGTGACTCCAAAACCTGACAGAGCTTAAAAATTCCCTTATTACCATTCCTTTAAAATATCCAGACACACTAACTCCCAACAATGGTGGAAATGCTAATCACGTCTCTCGGCGGCTTATAGGAGCATGAAAACAGAGCCGCCAATATGGAGGCTTTGGTGCATGTGCAAAAGTGAGGAAGAAGAGGAGGAAGAAGAGGCAGCTTTAATGACACGCATTCACAGAAGCGGCATGGCTCTTAAAGGCTGCTTCTCTGAAATCTGGCCCATCTTGCTGCTTGACTTTAGCCAGAGGAGACTTTTCATAAAAATCAGACTTAATCGTGTAAACAACGCGCAGACAAACAGAAAATCACTGCAAACAAAAATAAAACAACTCTGGAAGCTGTGCACGGATCGCCTTCAGAGTTAATTTTAAAGTAAGCATTCCGTTCCTTGGAGATTTTAATTAATGCTTTAATATGCAAATAAGTTAGCAGAGATAAAATCATGACAAACAGATGGCAAGTGTGGGTAATTATTTTGTGAATCCAGCAGGGGCATGTATTAAAGTTATGGTATCGTTTACCTCAGGCCTCTGCAGCCATGGATGGTGGGGGGGGGGTAACGACTTACGTGTGTCTCCAAATGACAAAGTGAGATGCAGTGAGTCTGAAAATATCACAAATGCAAGATATTAAGGGTATCCTCAGTCTCCAGTAGCCTTTCATTCATGAGGAAGTATATTTGAATTAAAAGCACCAATGGTCATTTAAATACCTACAAATCTGAAAGACTTTTTTACTAAAAGGGCACCACTCCATACTTTCCACATCAGGCAGGGCGCATGTCAATAAACAACCGTGAAGTAACAGAAATCACAGTTTATAATACCAGCTAATGTTTTTTATGGATTAAATAATGCTGTTTAGAAAACCTCACCAAAAGGAGTAATTAGTGCAGCAGATGGAGTTTTCATGGATGTCATGCTAGATGTTTACATTTCCATTTTTTTCAGAGCCCTTCAACGACTCCCCCTCTTTGTTGATGTTGATATTGATGTTGATATTGATGTTGATATTGCGCCCTATCTTAAAACGACCCACAGTGCAGCTCATTGTGTTTGGAAGTTTCAGAAAGCCATGTTGTGTGAGTAGAGAAAGTACTGCGGCAATGTTGGTCAATAGCTGTCATAGCAGCAGCTATGCCATATAGCGGTGCCTTAAAGATGCATTGCTGTAGACCAGGGGTGGGGAACCTCCGGCCCCCGGTTCCCCACCCCTGCTGTAGACCAACTTGGAAGTTAGCATCGCAGGGTGTCCCTTCACAAAAAGCAATAGGATTTCTCCATTGGATTTCGGAATATTGCAGTAAATAGGATCTTTATGATATGGTCAACTGGATAATCTCCACATATTAACATAACGTTAATAATAATTATAATAAATGGAATTTATAAAGCGCCTTTCACGGGACCCAGGGTCGCTACATGGTGGACAGACAAAACAAAACAGACAATGAGGAGCGAACAAAACAAAACAAATAATAAATAAAATAAAGGAAGCCGGGGGACCAGGAAAGGACTAGGGTCCGAAGGCCATGGTGAACAGGTTAAAGCTAAGCTAAAAGAGGCTAATAATAATTATTTGGATTTCAATAAACCCAAGGACGCTTTACAATAGGACGAGGGGCCGTGGGGGGGACAGAAAGGAACATAAATAAGAAGATAAAAAACTGAAATAAACAAAGGTTGGTCACAAAGATGTAGAGAGAATTAGCTGAGTGACCGACAGATGTGTTGTGAGTGCTTTTTTGAAGATATGAACAGTGTCAGCCATCCTGATTTCAAGGGGGAGGTAGTCCAGAGGGGGGGGTGGGGGTGGCTGCGACGCTGAAACTGGTTTTGGGAGTTGAATGAAAGGGTGGAGTCCAGAGTAACACCCAGGTTGCAGGCTTCAGGGGAAGGATGCATGGTGCATCCTTCAACAATGAGGCGGAGATGTCCAACCCTCCAGAGGAGTGCTTTGGGGCCACAACCATGAAACCATGAGCTCATGTCTCATGTCATGTTGCTGCTGCTGAGATCGGCTTGATAATGATAATATTGAGTAGTCTTATTTAGTCACTTGTTAGTAATAACTTGGCAGTATATGAAGGGAAGTGTCCGATTTAAGATGCAGAATGCTAACATGTAGGTTTGGACAACAACTCACATAGCAGTGAAACAGCACATTAAACAGTGGGCCTACCTGCTCCTGTGTGGGGGGGGGGTCCAAATCCAGGCCCTCAAGAGAGCTGTTAATCCTCAGGGCCAGACACAGGGCCATCAGGCCTCCAACCTTCAGCTCATTATGACGGAGGTCCAGCCTCTGGATCTGACGGCTCTCTGCCAGGAACTCTGCCAGCGCCACAGCCCCTTCACAGAGACACACTGTTAGACTGATCTGAAACCTTCTTCTGCTACCCTAAATGACCTGCGTTAGACCAGGTATGACTTCTTTTAACTCTTTAGAACTTACTATACTAAAGAATCTACGGTTCAGATGCAGACGCTGGAGAAGCACATAGAGCAGCTCTGCCTCTAGAGTCTCTGAAACCACACTTTAAATACTATAGTAAGCATGCTGAGTCTCTTTAATGTAGTTATACGTTAAAGCATTACAGGAGGTGATAGGATTACATTATGGATCAGGGAGTCATAAGATACTGTTGTTTATGGAAAGTAAAAGTAAAGACTTACTCATCATGGATAACACCATTTTAGGGCAGTAGTTTTAAACGACACCGATCCAAGTTACGTGTTGAAATTATGCATTTTTAGAGCCAAAACAATATATAAAAAAATGCCAACTTGGGAACTGGAAAATTGTGGAGAGAATTTTCTGATATATATATATATATAATTCATCATACATGCATATGCTTGATATGAAACCAAAATGTGACCAAACTCAACCCAATTATTCTTAAAAACGCATATTAAATATAGTTATAGTGTATGACATTTTAAAAAACGAAATACATTTCAATATTTGAATGGTCCTAATAAAACAATATATAATCACAGGATTGGTGCTACAGGCAAAGACGTGTGTGTCATGGTGTATACCTTCACATGTGATGCTGGCCTGAGCCAGGCCGAGCTGCAGCAGCGAGCAGTTCATCAGAGGCTCCCTGATCACCTGCATGCCCTCGTTCCCCAGGAGGTTCTCCCCCAGATCCAGGACCTGCAGGACCCTCAGCAGCGGCTGAAACACAGCAGCAGCTCAGATCTTATCCTGGTGGAAACTGAAGACTTTTACTGACAGTAAAGTAGGTCACTGAGTGCTGAAGCTTTGTGTAGTGTGTGACTCAGTGTGTGAAGGCTGAGAAGTTTGAATCATTATTATGATTGTTATTATGCGGTGATTATTATTCCCTCTCAGAACGTTTCCTCTCGTGTTAAACGCTCAAAACTTCTGTTTCCACTCTCCAGAGCCACATTAGCATTGAAGGTTGATTAGCTGGTGCACAGAGCTGGGGTGTCTGGGGCACAAGAGGCCCATGTTGCCCGACAGCTTGAAGAGGAGCCCACCACCCACTCCTCGTGGCCCCCTCGCCTCGCCACCCTTGTTAAACTCCTCTGGTCACTGCTCTGAGGAGCGAGGGAGCGCGGGGGCGGAAAGGAAGCCAGGAAGGCACCAGACAGACCCAGAGAGCGCCTTCTTTTGAGTTAATTTGCACCGCGGTGACAACAAACACACTTGAGAGGTTCCCCCCCTTTTCCTCGCTGAGTTGTGGCACACAGAGGCACCGCCACATCCAACGCGTGGTGAGAAGCTTCTCCGGTGAAGAGGGGAGGAGGAGAGGGAGGAAGAGCATCTCCAATGGATATGCACCAGGGATGATAGCAGACAATTAAAGAGGCGACTGCGTGGTGGAGAGTGTGAGCGGAGCATGGTTGAAGCCTGTCAAACGTAAACCACAGGAGGGTTGGAGTGAGAAGTTTGAGGGGGGTGCGAGTGTGAAGCCACCAAAAACACAGTATGCTTTCACACATGACATGCTGGCTTTAAACAAAAAAACTGCAGAACACACAAAGTAGATAAAAAAACCAGGGCCCTGCATGACATATACCCCCTTTCCACCGAAAACTAGTTCTAGCTCTAGTGCTATTTTGGTTCGGAGCTATACAACAACAATGGGGGACTGCATCGGATCTACGCTTGTGTTGCTTTCAATCGTACGCAGTCAGATTGAATAGAAGAACACATTTCCCAGCTTTATACTCTTGCCGTGGTTAATTGTTTATTAATGTGGATCAGCGACATTTACCGACCGCTGCAGTGCTGCTCGTCCACTGGAGTTTAGTCCACCGTTAACTGACGGCAGAGTTTAGTCTACTGTTAACTCACGGCAGAGTTTAGTCTACTGTTAACTCACGGCAGAGTTTAGTCTACTGTTAACTCACGGCAGAGTTTATTCTCCCGTTAACTCAAGGCAGAGTTTAGTCTCCTGTTAACTCAAGGCAGAGTTTAGTCTACTCTTAACTCACGGCAGAGTTTAGTCTACTCTTAACTCACGGCAGAGTTTAGTCTCCTGTTAACTCACGGCAGAGTTTAGTCTACTCTTAACTCACGGCAGAGTTTAGTCTACTCTTAACTCACGGCAGAGTTTAGTCTCCTGTTAACTCAAGGCAGCGGCCGCTTGAAAGTATTCACTGTCTGACTGTCAAACACTAATACACATTTCCCATCACCATATGTGAATGTATTTCAGTCTGAATTTACACTGTATTAGATGGGTGATGATAGCATAGCAACTGAAGCTAATCTGACTATCTTGACTACGAAAAACTGGTTCGCAATCAGGCACTAGGTTTGGTGCTAAAGGGTTAATATTTTCCTCAGAATTTAGATTTCCGAGTTAATTTAGACACAATTATCCAAATGTTGGAAGTGGAAGTCAAGTGGCCCATATATGTCTTAGTTGTTCAAAAGACAACAAGTCACACGGACAGGGAGTGAAAGCACACATACCAAGCAGAAAGGTTAATAACAGCTCTCCCGTCATCATATTCGACACAACCAGCTACGGGTCTAATTATCATCATTATGGCCTGCAAGGACAGCTACTTATCCCCGAGACTGGCAGACCACATGAGCACCCCTCCTTAACAAACATCTATTATTTAATCAAACTGTTCCTTCTTTTGGTAGCACTGAAGGAGACAGAGGAAGTGTGTGTGTGTGTGTGTGTGTGTGTGTGTGTGTGTGTGTGTGTGTGTGTGTGTGTGTGTGTGTGTGTGTGTGTGTCTACAGTACATGGGAGGCCTTTAATTTCTAGCCTTTTGACTTCCACAATCGCCACTCACATGACAGGAAGGTGCAGTTTATGCTGCCAATCAGGCGGAAGGAATGCATGTTATTAGGGGTGTACTGTGAAACATGTGGAGGCGGGACTTTTTTAGAGAGGATTGTCTGGATGAGGCAAACGCTCTTCATTTCCTCAAGGGATAAAAGACAAGCAGGTATCTGATCATCTCAGCTGTACTAAACATGCCTGTTCTGATCACTTTAATGTCAGAGAAAGAATCTAGTACATATTTTCCAAAGCGGCAACATTTTTGGCATGAAATCCCCTCTTTCTGTTTCCCCCCTGAGCTGTTGTCAAGGGAGAGTAACACAAAGAGGTCATTCGGTATTAAAAAGAAGGCAACAATCCATTTGACATGTCTCATGAACCTCAGTTTCAGGTTCACTTTCAGGTAAATGGATTGAGCATCACTCACACGAAAATAGCAAATGACATTCAGTTCAGTGTTCAATTCAATTTCAATTCAATAGCTTTATTAGTATGACCATAGTCCTCGAAAAGTTACCTATAGCTTGGTTTCACGTGACGTCACACCGTTGCGTTCCTTTGGCGTGAAATTCCATTGGAGGTCAGGAAGTAATTTTCTACAGAGGATCTAGCTGCTGTTACCATTGTGAAAATGCCGGTGTGTTGTGTAGTTTACGGTTGTTCCAATCGATCCGGCCGAGAGAAAAACAAGAGGTTTTACCGAGTGCCGAAGGTTGTCGTCCATAAAGCTGAGCAATTTAAGAAGCTAACCGAAGAACGCCGGAAAAAATGGCTTTCAAACCTACATCTGCGGTCGGGAGGAGCAGAGTCGTCTAATGCACGGGTCTGCAGCGACCACTTCATCAGAGGTATTAGCTAACTTGGTTTTTGTGGCTTTGTTTAGGTATTATTGGGTTGTGGTTAAATGCTTATTTACTTAGTAATACTGATCATGTTTAAGTTACCTGTAGTCTAATGTGGACTTTGTTGGGACTTTTTAGGGTGCCCTAGCGCTTTGGGTGACGTTGAGTCGGTAGACTGGGCTCCCACTGTTAGCCTCGGTTACCACACAACAAGTAAGCCCAGATCAGAGGCATCTCTTCGACGAGAGCAGAGGATGGAGCTCAAGGAAGACCAACAAAGACAATCAGAATGTGCAGAGGCTTTGTTGGATCTCCTGCAGACAACCGAGAGCCCAGAACCGACGCAGCCCCCGTCTGACAGCCCACAACCAGAGGACACCAGTGGGATATTAAATGACCAACAAGGTAAATTAACCACCAGCATTAAATATTACAAATGTGATTGTCAGAAAATCAATGCAAACTTTGAATTAGGTTTAGAAAATAGAGCACTAATTTGAGAATCTGCAATAATTGGAACAGAGAACTTGCATGTCTGTAAAAAGGTTGTCAAAAAGATAACTTCACAAAAATTCACATTCATATTTGACTATTTTAAATAACTAATTATGCTTGCTACTGCTATATTGTATGCAGATGCAGGATGCCAGACTGATTTAACGATGGAGGACATCGAGAGGATGGAGGATGTTCTGAGACAGAACACAACAGAGCTGGGAGATCTTCGGACAAAGGCACTGGACACAAAGTTCAACCAGGAGTCCTTTGAGAACAACGAAGAGAAAACAAAGTTTTACACCGGGCTCCCCAACTTCTTAGTTTTACTTCAGGTTTTTCAACTGTGCGAGCCCTACATCACCTGTGGCCCTATGTCTGTGCTCTCCAAATTTGAACAGTTCATTTTAGTTTTGCTGAGGCTGAGACTAAATCTCCCTCTGAAAGATTTGGCTTTCAGGTTCAACATCTCTCTCTCCACTGCTTCTAGAATTTGGCATAAGTTAATTGACATACTTCACGAGAGTACATCATTTATAATTGAGTGGCCAGAGCGACATGTACTTCAAGCTACAATGCCAATGGGATTCAGACAGGCATTTGGATGTAGAGTTGCTGTGATTGTTGACTGTTTTGAAGTTTTTATTGAGAGGCCCTCTAATTTACTAGCTAGAGCACAAACATGGTCCAACTACAAGCATCACCATACTGTTAAATTTCTGATTGGTGTTGCTCCCCAAGGCTATGTTACCTACATATCTTGTGCCTGGGGAGGAAGAGTTAGTGATAAACAGATCACAATACAGAGTGGGCTCCTAAAAAACCTGTTACCTGGAGATATTGTCCTAGCAGACCGTGGGTTCGATATTGCCGATAGTGTGGGATTTTACTGTGCTTCACTAAAGATGCCTGCATTCACCAGGGGGAAGAGTCAGCTGTCAGCATACGAGGTGGAAGAGACAAGAAAAATAGCTAATGTGCGTATTCATGTTGAAAGAGTCATAGGATTAGTCAGAAGAAAATATCAGATTCTGCAAAGCAGGGCTGTGCCCATAGAGCACATGCTAACAAAACCAGGTGAGGCACTAGCATTAATTGACAAGATTGGGGTTATTTGCTGTGCCTTGTCTAATCTGTCAGTGTCTGTCGTCCCATTGGAGTAAAGTCATGGAGCTGTAGTCTTGTAAATAAGGAACCATGTATTATTCAGTATCATTTAATCTTTTCAGTAAACATCTTTTTGTGTTGAAAATTGTGTAGCCCTACTCAATATACAACTTTCATCTACATTCAGGCTTAATTCATTCAACAATATTCTAGAGATGACAATTGGTCTGGTGACGCTCCCATGTATGGCCATTGAGGGTTATTGTAAATGTAAATAAGAAACCATGTATTATTCAGTCTTAGTATCATTTAATCTTTTCAGTAAACATCTTTTTTACAATAGCAATATATCACACAGCCCTACTTCCTCTAGTGAGTGTGGTCAGTGAATATGAAGGTGCTGTAATGCAGGTTAAAGAGCTGCCACTGTGCAAATGTTACGTTCCCTTGTAAATATAGGGGTACAAAGGGAAGTAGCGACACACAACATAACCGGCCGAGAGAAAAAGGAGAGGAAACTGATCTCTGACGCCATAAAGTGGTCTTTTAATTAACACAACGAAAAAGGGCTCACCAGCCAACTTGTCAAACAAAGCTTAAGATAAGGGGAGAGCGACTGCAACCTTCCTCATGTCCTATATGGAGGCGCTGATTGGAGATTGGGAGCACCTGGGGAGATCAGAGGGAGAGAGAAAAAGACACCCACACACACCCAAACACCAGCACCCACTACGGCACGTAATAATAATGCAACAAGGAGAGAACCACAACTTCCGGGACCAGGACAGACCACAGGTGCTGGTAATCACGCCTTCTCTCCCTCCTGATCATCTTGCAACTGAAACTGAAAAATGGAACAGCAGACAGGGAGAGGAGGCTTTTAGTCACCTGATAGTTATGCACTAACATGTTCTTGTGGAAAAAAATGAGCACACCAACTCTTTATGACTTTTACCTTTCCCCTTGTAAGTTGCTGTCCCAACACTTCAGGGAGAACACATAGTCTGAAGAAACGCTCAACTCTGGGAATGATGTTGTCCCACAGGTCCACATCACGCACAATTCTCTCTACAAAGAGGTCATTTTTAGTCCAGACAACAAAGTCGCAGTAGTCCACATCAACGAGGTGGAGCTGAGCCTGTATTTGATGGTAGTAGGCATGTCTCCTGTCCAGCTTCACAGTGCCCCCATCGTTGACGAGACAAAAGCCCTGTTCTCCAGCACACAGGCGAAGATTGGCCTCCTCTTGTTTGCTGTGTGGGCACTAAAAGTTCAATGAAAAGAAAAGTAATATATTGTACTGTAAATAAGTGTCTGCAGCTCAAAATGTATTGGGAGAGGATCCCCAGACTCAGGATCACGTCACAATCCTATACTTACCCGCTTTACTGTAGCACAATACTGAACAAATAACTTACCTTTATCTTACAGATACCAGTTCCATGGCAGGTGCACGTGACACATCCGTCTGGCGACGCTCCCATGTATGGCCATTGAGGGTTCAGCCAAAGCCCGCTGTCTTTACAGCTGAAACCCTGGTGGTGCAGACTTTGTACTCCTTCATACTGCTTTCGGGCAGTTGCCTCGTATTTGCATCCATACCTGTCAGTCACACACACACACACACACACACACACACACACACACACACACACACACACACACACACACACACACACACACACACACACACACACACACACACACACACACACACACACACACTGTATTTTTATGCATTGAATATTTTGTGAATCATGTTTTGTAATGATAATGAATTTAGTTATAAGTTACTTGTACTGTAACTTACCACAATACGTGATCTAATCAGCGTATACCACGGGTAGAATTGTAAGTTACTTTTCACAACAAGTCGGTATCCCTCCGCGTCTGAGAAAAACTGTATACAGTTTGCTTTTCTGATTGGCTCCCTAATCCCTAATAAATACCTTGTTGCAGCTGTAGAGAACTTGTATGCCTCTGGGTAGCATATGGACTTGATCAAGGACTTTGATGGCTGTGCAAGACTAGTCTGTAGAACCTGCTTCAGTCTTGAGGCTGTGATCCTTCCTGCTCTTTGGCTAAACCATATTGCTGATAAGCTCTGGTTTCTGGTCTCCTCCTCTACTGCCTGGACCTGTGGCTGTGTCAGCTCTTCCTGTCTGAAGTCCTGGCATGCATTCTGCAACTCTGTTGGGGATAGCTGTAGCATCTCTGGTGTCCTATACTGAGGTAGTGGTTTAGGTAGCTTGCTCACAGATTTACGGACAAATTCTCTGTAATATGGTTCCCTGGAGATCAGTGCAGCACTTCTTGGGGAATTTCTGCTCAAAGTCTTGAAAAACTGCATATACCTCTCTGATCCTCGCTCCAATTTTGAACCCTGGACTGTGGGACGCTGAAATGTGTGCTTCTCACCTGTCCTTCCAGCAATGGCATCATCCAGTTTTTGCTTTTTGGATTTTGCGGATGAAAAGTCTATCATCGCAACTGGAGCAGCAGGAATCTGCACATGTGAGAGACAGACCAACATGTATGTGAACATACATGTAGGTGCAGTGTAACAATGAGACAGGCAAGGACGGCATGAACAGCTGACTGACCACTGGGGTCTGAATACCTTTTTGACATGTGATGGCATTAGCCACTTGCACTTCTCAGTGGTGCAGGATGCAGTCTCTCTCATCTTCACACCTGCTTCGATTGCAAACAGAACTGCTCCAACATGTGAGCAGGATTCTGACAAACTGTATAGACAGAGACATACTAGAATAACTAGATTGATCGTAAAAGCTAGTAATGGTATAACATGAATATTATAGCAGGCATTATTTTGTCTGAGCTTAAGTGTTGTGTCAAATATGCTTTGGGTTGGGATATTTATTTTATGACTTACCCAGCCATACAGTTACAGTGTGCTGTAACAACCTCTCCATCTTCTTTAGCTACAATCCACGTTTTTAAATGGTGTTTCTCCAGACCTCTGGGAATGGTTGACCTACACAATTGAAGCTCCAGTTCACAACTTGCGAGTTGGTAACATACATTTAACAACATCACAAGCAACACATAACCAGAGGGTCTTGGTAAAGAGGTTGTTTTTAATATTAACCTCAACATAGAGTGATATAAACAACGTGCAGGCTGTTCAAAGGCTCTGAGCTGTCTATACACACAAAACACAATATATCCTAAGCTAAACACATAACAAACATACACATATATACACACACAACACACTCACAGGCCAGTTAATGCTGAAGGCAAGGCGACAGCCGTAACACTGCCTTACATGAGTCCATGTAGCTAAAGTTAGCTAGCTAGATGTCTCCTAATAATGCTACTTAGAGGTAAGAAGGTATAGGTAGTTAACACTCACCCGGGAAAAAACAAGGCGACATTTGTTTAATGCCTCTTTGGTGCCGAGGTCATTCACCCATCCACACACGAAGTAGTTGAAAGCTTCCAGGCTTTTATACGCTTTCATCTGGCTAGCCGTGTAGTAGGAGGTATGAAGGACGAGGTAGCTGGTGATATCCATCGCCTGGACAGCGGGCAAATCGGATAAATCACGAGAAAAGTCGTTTTTTTTCAGCTGATACGGATCGTATCCGATGTGTGCTGTGATTTTTTCACGATATCTACGGCGTGCAGGTTCATTTAATTGTTTGACATAGTCGGTGTCCTCCATGATTCCTGCGTTGATGAATGATTGCATTTTCACTTCCTGACCTCCACTTGAATTTCGCGCGTCATAGAAGTCACGTGACTGAAACCAAGCTATTGGTGTAACAAATGGTTTTACAGGAACAAGTTATTTTAGGAATATTTAGGCCTCATAGCTCTTCCTGGTTGGATCCTCCAGGATGATAAGAATAATAATAATAAATGGTATATGTACACATGATTTACTTATAACGGACAAAATATTGTAACGCTGGACTTTTCTCACGCTCAAGTTGCTCCGGTACAAACAACACTATCATACCAACGATACCTGGGATGATTTGGAACTGTTAGCCAAACTGTTAGCCACTGTTAGCTAGCCACTGTTAGCTAGCCACTGCTAGCTAGCTAACAGTGGTGATCATCACTTCCTGTGCAGGCACAACACCTGAGCCTTCGAGACGACACTAGCATGTCAAATTTCACACATTGCATAAGTGGTCACCGTGCACCACATTGCAGTTTAGTAGAGGAAGTATCCAAGTTGAGACACAGCATGAGCCTTAGGTGCATCTTTTTGGTGACTGACCAGGATTCTGATGTCAAAGATCAGTTCAGGGGGGTATACTACGAAGCAGGATTTTCGCTTAGCCGGCTAAATTCAGGGAAAACTCCGGCTTTCCGGTCCTACGAAGCTGGTTCTCTTTTTAGCAGGCTAGATGTCCATGGTAACTTATGCTTAGCGGCTAACCTGGTCGGGACCAGGTTAGGTTGCAGGCTAAGAGCTCAACTCAGTGAAAGCATCGCCTGCTGACCAATCAGAGCTCCGTGTGCGGAGTTTAAAGCGATCAAGTCATATTACAGGAGAAAGGAAATACATAAAAACTGCCATTGCAAGAAAGACGGCCGGCAAAAATCACCGACTGTGTGAACGTGAAAAGGAATAGAATATCACCTCCATCTTCAGAGCAATCTGACTATTATAACATTAGTGTTAAGAAAGCTTACTTAAATATCTGCCACAACATAAGTACACTGAGTGCAGACGTCGATGTGTCCCATTATCATTCATATCACATCATATCACATCATAATGTATCATATATTTCCTTATCTGAGTCAGCTGAGCCGTATCTGGCCGTGCAACACTTACAGTGTCACATACTGTATGCAGAAGTATTATTTTAAGCAACACATTAAGTTGACGAAACACTCGAGACAAATGTAATTAAAGTCAGATTGTGTCTTAGACGGGGCAGTGATATTATAAACCTGTTAATGTACGCATTCAAACACTTTTTCTTTTGCCAGCTGTATTCACCTTGCAGGTGCAGCTCTGTGGCTTTGATCCTGGAAAAAGTGTTTAAGTCATGGATGTTTAAAGTTTAACTTCTTAATTTTTGACTAGTATTAAAGTTCACTTTTCATTCAGGAAGTATGACGCTGCGCTGTCAGTGCGCTTCTCCATGTTTGTGATTGGTCGAATGCTCCAAATACCACCCCTTTCATGTGAACGCGCACCTAACTAGATAGGAAACGGCTGGCTTGAGCGATCCACTTGATAACCAGCGTCGTAGTACAATTTAGCGAGAGCGCGTATGTTTTGGATTAGGCCAACCGGCTAACTCAAACATATCCAGGTTAGGTTGAACCAGCTTCGTAGTATAGGCCCCTGGTCCCTGCCATCAGAATATGCTGACTGTTGGCATGCCTTGGTTCTGTTCCAAACTAAAGCTGTGATGTTCCTCACCAGAGCCTTGGCCAGATGGAGCATGCCTCTTGCAGTGATCTGGTTGTTCCTCAGCAGGAGAACCCTCACACCTGCTGTCTGCCACCTCAGACCATCACACAGCTCCTCCAAACCTGCGGAGTCAACAACAACAACAACAACAACATCCAGTTACTGCAATCAGCTAAACCGGTTCAACCCGACTGTTTGTGTTTGTAAGCTAAGTGGTACTGATGTTTGGTGGGTCATTCTTTAATAAGCCTAAAGTGAATAAGGTTATAAGATGAATGTCCCACATGTTGCTCTGCCTTTCAGAAACACAATGTATATTTATTTAAAATGTGGTTTATTTGGTCACAGATGAACACCCCACCGTCGTCTGCCACAGCGTTGCTGCTGAGCTCCAGGGTGTGCAGGGTGGTGTTGTAGCGCAGCAGGTCCCCCAGGTGCAGCGCATCCTGGTAGCTGTTCAGCAGGTTGTTGGTGAGGTGGAGCTGCTGCAGAGCCCTGTTCCACTTCAGAGCACTCACTACAAGCAGAAACAGAAAGATCCAAAACTGATTAGAAACTACATTATAATTATTTGTCTTGACTTTGAAAGACTAATACCAGCAAATATATTACAGTTTGTGGGATCTGTTTGTCTGATAAATACTAAATCCATTTGGCAGGGCTTTCTCATGTCACACCAACCCAGTCTCACAAAAAAACGTGTAATAACAACGTTGGTCCACAACTTGGGACGTAGTATTTCTGAAATTGTAAGATGAAGATCCCTACGTTTTTTTCACCATTCATTCCAATGGCTGGCGTCTATGTCACGTGATCTTCAAATTTTTCCCGACAGAAAAAAAAAACATGGTCGAACTTCGTTTTATTCTCGGTGGAAAATGCCTATTTTAAGGTTAGTTTGGCCATTAAAATGCGTTTTGATGTCATTTGATGCGAAAAATATGAGTTGTTATTTCAGATTATGTGTGCAGTCAACACACTCTCACTCCATAAACTTCCAGGAGCGACGCTTGATCAGGGTCCCGAGGCGTGCAGTTGTGACGCTCCTAGGCTCCTTCAGCTTCATAAAGAAGTATTTCTACCGTGAGTTATGTGCTAAGTGCGTTAGCATTCTTTCGTTTAGTGCTAATTCAGGGGCTCGGCGTCAGACTTGTGTTTTGTTTCGGTGAAAATGGTTCATATCGTCAGGTAGCTGAGTTTCTTCCCGTTAAGTGGGTATGACACATTCATAGTTTGTTAAATGTTAAGAAGCCCTCAGACGCTGTTTCTTGCTAGATGGTGTTAGAAATTAAAATCAATGTTGATATGGCGTAATTTGAATTAAATACACTATTTAATTTAGATCAGTTTTATTCTGAAAAACCGGAAGTTCACTAACTATTAACTTAATACTTTTTTTCTGAAAATTCTTCACTTCCGGTTAGCATTAGCATGTGGCGAAATGCTACGTTTTCAAACCGTGAATCGAAGGTGAAATGACATGTGATGTTGTACACTCAGCACACTGGGTTTAGCAC